TAATATTTACACAAACACTTTTGCACGCTTGGATATATACTGATAAATGTACAGTGAAAATAACTATTGTCATAATACACTGTTTTCATATCATATGGCTGATAACTTTGAATATAATGTACAGAATTACATGACAGAATGGATGACAAATGTGCAAAATAAATGTAATGGCATTGAGCAAATTTAAGCAATTAAACACCATAAAATGTAATGGTGTTTGATGTAAAATGTAACACCAATTAATTCCATGAAAAAGATTTGTAAACATGTCTCTAAAGTTGTTCAAATGCAAAATGGTTCTAATTCAGATGCAGTAAATGTGTTAATTATACAAATTTGGTCACACTTTAATTTGGGGACCAATTCTCAGTAATAACTAACTATTAACTAGAACTTTTGCCTAATATTAATAGTTAGTAAGGTAGTTGTTACGTTTAGGTATGGGTTGGATTAAGGGATCTAGAATATAGTCATGCAAATTAAGGTATTAATATGTACTTTATAAGTACTAATAAACAGCCAATATCCTGGTAATATGCATACTAATAAGCAACTAGTTAATAGTGAGATACTGAGCATTTTTCAGTTTTTCTTTTTTAATAAATCTGCAAAGATGTCAACAATTCTGTGTCTGTCTGTCAATATGGGGTGCTGTGTGTACATTAATGAGGAAAAAAAATTAACTTAAATGATTTTAGCAAATGGCTGCAATATAACAAAGAGTGAAAAATTTAAGGGGGTCTGAATACTTTCCGTACCCACTGTATATTTTAATGTCTAAGCCAATGTACAAAAATGTGTGCTAGAACTTTATGTATGATTACCTAATATTAATAGTGTGATCACAACTTGGTAACCAAGGCACCCAAAAAAGGTTGGTAACACACAAACCAGAAGTTACATGACCAGTAACCACTAAAATGTTACCTCACTTCATTTCCAGCGATATCGTTGATTTGATTGCAAATGATTGCAAAGATACTTTTTAAACTGAACTGAGCTGGATGATGACATCACTGAATTCAATGATGAACTGCCTTTAACTGAAAAATTTGTGTTTACTATTGTCATTTTGCATTATTGACACACTATTTTCCTAATTAATGCTGTTCAGTTGCTTTGACACAATCTGTATTGTTAAAAGCGCTATATAAATAAAGGTGACTTGACTAAAACTATGACTTTACAGCTCAAATAACACATTTTTCTGGAATGGAATTATGGAAAAATTGGAAAAGGTGTGTTTTAATAAAAATACAAGCTTATTACAGTAGTAAATGACACGCTACAGACGCTGTCCATAGAGCTTAAAGGGATGGTTCAAAAAGGTTCCAAGCTTTATAATGGCAGTGAATGGGTGATATTCAATAGTCCAATTGAAGACCAATAAACTGAGTCAATCCATCATAAAAAGTACACCACACGGCTCTGGCGGGTGAATATGCGGTGAATAAGCAATGCGTTTGTGTAAGAAAAATAAAAACTTTATAAACTGTAATCTCTAGCTTCCGCTGACTGATATGCGCTTTCACGAGAGAGTGGCGTTCCAGCGGATGACGTAGGCGTAGCATAAGCTTAGGTGAGAAGTTGTGTAAAGTTGTGTGGAGCACTTTTTATGATGGATTGGCGCAGTTTATTGGACTTCTGTTGGGCTAATGAATATCACCCATTCACTGCCATTATAAATCTTAGAAGAGCCAGGACATTTTTAAATATAACTCTGATTGTATTCGTCTGAAAGAAGAAAGTCATATACACCTAGGATGACATGAGGGTGAGTAAATCATGGGGTAATTTTCATTTTTGGGTGAACTATCCCTTTAACTTTGTTTGAACCCTTCACATTGCTTTAAAGAGCATTGTTGGAAATTATGGGTCAACGTGCAGTGGTTACATTTTGTTTTTGGACTGCTAACTGATTAAAACACTTCTTGTTTTTGTTAATTATAAGTGAATAATGAAAAGTGTCGTTATTAGGGCATATCCATAGGGTGATCTCCTGACTGCAGCGAACTGTTAGCTCCATTTCATAATTTTAGGCAGGCCTGATATCAGAAGGCTTAATTGGAAATTAAACACTGAATATCAAATCGGCTTAAAAGTGATGCCAATTATTTCATGTTGATCTGAGCTGGTGATATTAGACCCCGTTACGTCATTAGGACTGGCCTTTATGAAGGAATACAAATGTTTGCTTTGTTCCAGGACCGGATAACATTAGTGTGCAAAACTGAAATCAGAGAACACGCTGACCTTGTTTTGCTGTTCCATAATTCAGACACACACACACACACCCTCAAAATACATCCATACAGGAAGTCGGACATGTTTCATATACTCTGAACAATTGCTTTTGACATTTGGACATAAGTACCATTAAAAAGACACTGCTTCAGACATGGGATTTAATAATGCTAATGCCAAAATCAAATCAAAGCAATCAAGACTTTAACATTCAACATTCAGGAGTGCTGGTTCATTTCAAGATAAGTTTGAAGTGTAACGCTTTCACCTTCTGATCGATACAACTAAATCTCCATTTAAAGTAACTGTTAGAGGTGAATTAATCGACTGGATTTTCCAAGGCACCTCCCAAAGTTCTCAGCTGATAGTGTAATTTTGCTTAATATCTTCACACATTTAGAGAAAGACTGGTTGAATCCTTCAAAGCCGCCACTCCTGCTCAACAGCCTTCTTAATTTCCTCTTTCACACTTCTTCTCAAACTTTTAACATTGTGACCCCGGGAAACATTTGCAAACTATAACAATAAAATGAACTTGTAATGAGCAAAATAATTGCACTTCAAACACGGCATGGCTGGTGGAGTTTCTGTGCCCAAGACGGGCCTAATTTATAGATTACATGGCTCATGAGCGCCCAAGTTCAGAACACAGAAATATTGGTTGTGAAGTGGGGAAAAAAGGCCGCCTTCACGAACGAGTCTCCAGCATTCTTTAAACTTGTGTAATGGATATGCTGCGGGCGTTGGGGCACATTTACCATGCAAAGAATCTCCATTCTGCACGCAGCCACTTCAAAGGCAGGGGAACTGTGTTTCAGCCAGCCAGTGGGGAAGAAGGAAGGGGGGAAAAAGACGCTCGGCAACGTGCATTCGTCTCCTGGAGTGACAGAAATTGGCGGGGGGTGTTTAAAGAAGAAAAGATCGAGCTGATCTGGGACTAAGTCTTTTTCAGTCAACACGGCAGTGTTCCTCTATCTTCAAAAAACTGAGAGAAATAACGGCTGAGGGAATGACAGAGAAAGTTAAATAGAAAGAAAGACCAAGAAAATGAGTGAGGAGGGCATTAAAAGCGCTTTATTTGTTCCCATTTCCTTTGCGAGAGATGTGAGGCAGGAAAATGGTGCCATGCGGTATTTTCATATCCACATCCCCTGAAAATAAATGCATACATGGTGAAAGAAATTTAAAGTTGGAGTGATGACCCTGTGACTATTAAATTAATTCAATGAAGGTGCACCAATTTTCATCATTCTGTCATGACAACTCTTGGAGAGTTTAGCATGGTAATATACATGGTAATGTTAATGTGTTTGGTTTTGGCGGAATAGATCTGCTACACTGGTGCTGCAGCAGAGCAAGTACTGAGATGTGCTACTGCCAATACATTCGCAGACATGCTGCTGCACACATACATGAATTACCCCTGCAAATACAACATACATTAAATTATCTATAGCAGATCTATACAGGTGGAGCTGGGGAAGGTGAAGGGTGTCTGAAAATGCGCTGCAAACTGCTACAGCTAACACTTGCCAAGTATTTAAATGTTTAGTAGCAAGCTCATTTGCTGCTGATGCGAAATAAACCAATCAGCTGTACTGTGTAGATAACAATGTGCTTACTAGCAGATTAAATTAATAGATGGCCTGCTGCACCATCTAGAGTTTCATAACAGAACAGTATTTTTTGCCTTAGTGATATTTCAAAAGAAAGCTGACATACATGTCAGAAGAGGGTTTTTTAGCAAATGTTTAGCAAATATTAAGTCTCCTCCACAGTTTGTAAGATGTAACTAAACATACGCACATTCAAAAGATGTAAAAAGGCATTTAAAAATAAGCATCACAGCACTTTTTGGATCTGATAGAGAAAATAATTGGATTAAAATGTTAATATACTTTTATTTTCATTGATCTCATTATTTCAGGTCTACACCACCACTTACAATACGATCAAAATTGAATTCAGATTGAGTTCAATCAGATCGATTGTGGTGTTTACATGAAGGCTTTTCAATCTGATTACAGATTACAGATTATTTGTTTGTAAATAAACAGAGTTTATGTTTGTATTCATATATATTTCAGATGCAATAGTCATTTAATCACCCTCTTTTTCTTTTCAAATGTTTGACACAAAGAGAGAAATGTGTAAGAATTATACTGGTCACTACTCTTTTCCAATTGCAATCAATGGGGAATGGAGCTTTCAAACTTCAAAAAGGATTCAAAAGAATCATTAAATAATTTTTAAAATGGTCCATATGACTTTAGGTGAGGAACAGAACAAATTTAAGTCATTATTTAATGAAAATATTGACATTCACCTTAGCTTTGAGAGTTCATGAGTGAATCAGTAATTCTTTTGATTGAAATCTTTTATGAATCAATTGATTCAGTTCACAAAACCAGCTGAATGATTCCATCTCAAATTGGACTGATTCAGTTCTCACGGACTCAATGATCTGGTCACAGTGCTTAGTAGCTCACTGGAGGGGAAGATTTTTAGTGAATAATGACTTAAATTTGGTGTTTTCCAAAAGTTGTACGGGTTTGAAACAAGAAACAATGACAAAATGTTCATTTTTGGGAGATCTAAGCTTTTAATGTGCATTACATACCAAGACAGTCTTCAGTTTTCCTTGCATTTTCACTTCTTCCCTCACTATTGCCTTCCTCTTCCACGACCCCCTTCTCTCTTTCTCTGTCTTTCGCTCTCTCACTGCCTTTTTCTGAGTTTATCTGATTGGCAACCAGCCACTGTTTTCATTAAGCGCTGTTTTAAGGGGTAGCATATGTACATTAAAAACCACGTTTTAACCTCTGTAATCCAGATATACAAGCATACACACATGCTTACACACATACACACACTTGCAGAACTTGTGAAGGAGTTTGGCGACCGGTTCATGGCAGGTTAGTTTAAACATGTCAGATGGCTTCCCCCTTGTCACTGCTGGTTTATAAACAAATCCTTCTCTCTCTCTTTTGCGTTCTCTCCCTCCAACACAAGCTACATAAACATAACCCACATACCTACTGAACATTTGATAAGTCAAATTTTAAGAAAAATTACTGATAAATTACTTTGACATGAACTTCTGCTGGTGGGATTTGCAACATCAGCATTTTACTGAGTAAAATTTCTCCTTAATCTCACATTTATATCAAGAGTTTTTTCCCCCCCGCCACGACAGAATAAATAACTTCCTGATACACACTGACCCATTCCTTCATGCTTGGTTGACTGGAATGTAACTGTATCTCTCTCTGTCTGTCTGTCTCTCTCTCTCTCCACAGCAGCAGCGGCAGCCTACGCAAACCATTAGTCTTCCCATCGGTTTCAGCTAATTTGTCTCCGGCTGCTGCGTGATTCCAGCTCCATTGTGTCCAATTAAAATTCCTGCATGTGTTTTCCCTCAAAATTAGGTTACTTGTGCAAATTTACACTAATTTACTTACCTCTGGAGCTCAGCATTCAAAAGTGCTGTTTGTTTAACATGCAACTTGAACCCGACTGTTAACCCATATCCACACACACACACAATCGCTGGACAACAGTTCACAGATCGGACAACTCATTCTATTATGGTATGTTTTAAAACCACTGAACAGCTTCATCAAACAACTGAGGTTTGATGGTGGTCGATCACAGTGAGATGTGGGTTTTGATTTGCAGTGTTGAGCCTTTATGGTTTTCCTGAAGTTTGAGGGTTTGGTGACAGTCCAAAGAGAAGTTTGCACACTCAAGAGATATGTGAATCTGTAAACCAGCATAAGACGTGGGAATTTGAAGAGTTTATGCTGATATATGTGGAATGCTGCAGGCATGTTGTCATAGTCCTTGACCTTTTACCTCTTTGATGCCAGGTTAAGTGGCTCTAGATATCATCACATGCTTTTTTAGAACAGTTGCTGTTGATATCATCTTAATGTCATGTCATCCAAGTGAAGATGCCATTAAGCAAATTATATCTAACATAGGGGTTTTCAATCTTTTAATGTCAGAAAGCTCCAAATATTGGGAACCCTTTTTGAGGAACCAAAAAAATGATATATATATATATATATATATATCATTTTTTATATATTATATATATATTTAGCTGCCTTATATATATAATATATATATATACATACCAGATCTATTTCGCCAAGATCAAATACATTAACATTGTCATATCCATTGCCATGCTAAAAATTTTCAGAGAGTTCTCGTGATAGAAATATATATATGTATGTGTATAATGTTATATTTATTATTTATATATATTTAGTTATATTTATATATAGTATAATGTTATTATTATTATTATTATTATTATTTTAAAGTCTAATAAATGTTAAAATTGATAGCTCTCAATTATACTGTAATGTTGAATGGCTATAGTCAGATTGAATGTGAAATTATTGCAATATACCCATGACTGAGGTGCCCTTGAGCAAGGCACCGAACCTCCAATTGGTCCCTGGGCGCCGCAGCAAGTGGCTAGCTCCACCTGTATAGATCTGCTACGGGTTATTTTATATGCTATTTGTGCAGCAGCAGTATGTCTTAAATACTCACAGCATCATATCGGCTTATGTAATGGCAGTAGCAAGTTTCTGTACTTGCTTGCAGCAGCAGCAGCAGCAGCAATAATTTACAAATACAGCAACAATCAACAGCAGCAGCAATTCAGCAGTAGCAGCAGTGTAGCAGATCTATTTCGCCAAGATCAAATACATTAACATTGTCATATCCATTGCCATGCTAAAAATTTTCAGAGAGTTCTCGTGATAGAAATATATATATGTATGTGTATAATGTTATATTTATTATTTATATATATTTAGTTATATTTATATATAGTATAATGTTATTATTATTATTATTATTATTATTTTAAAGTCTAATAAATGTTAAAATTGATAGCTCTCAATTATACTGTAATGTTGAATGGCTATAGTCAGATTGAATGTGAAATTATTGCAATATACCCATGACTGAGGTGCCCTTGAGCAAGGCACCGAACCTCCAATTGGTCCCTGGGCGCCGCAGCAAGTGGCTGCCCACTGCTCTCGGTGTGTGTGTTTTGTAATTTCACAGTTGTAATACCATAACGTGAAAGCGCCGCTTTTCTATCGCGAATGTGCCGAATCTGCTGATGTAATTACAACCACTAATGATAGACAAGGGGAGGTGGAGGCCGGGGGAGAGCTGAGTTCTCGTGCCTCCGTTGGTAAAAAAAAATTTGCCAATCACCATCGAGTGTTCACTTTCAGCGCTGAGGAGTGTTGAGAAAAGAAACTTCGCAAGGGAGGCTAGCCTCCCTCCCTTCTGATATCAACCAATCATCATGGAGACGTAAATTACATGATATTAGTTTGAACGTCTCCTGCTGCGATGATAATGTACCAAGTCAGTGGTTAAGCAAATAATAATAATAATCGGCAGGGATCCCAGACCAATACAATTAGTGTGCCTCCTCTATTTTAAAACCCACGAGCCGCCACTGGTTACCATACTTGGCCACATGTCACATCACTTTACTTTACAAAATTTTGACCGGTAGTGAAAAAGAACACTTCAGCAGACATGATTTCCAACCAGTCTTTAGAAATAAAATGGTAAACATCAAATTTAGTATTCAGTCAAAATGGTAAAGATTTGAACTCTTATGTATAGTATTTATAATTTATATATAATGCCCTGCTTTTATACACACACACACACAGACACACACAGGGAAGCTACTGCTAGTTCCCTTTCAGTTGGTCACGTTCGACGTATGTCGGAACTGACCGACGAATTGGGAAGCACTTTGGGAGACCAATCTACTTAGAGTATAAGAAAAACGAGCCAATGCATATTGGGCTCTGCGCTGCAGCGCGAGTATTTAATGAGCAGCCGGCGCGTCGCATATTTGCTTTTCGCTTCGGAGCCGAACACATGTGCTGTTCCTGCGCGTGTGTTTTCTTTGGAAAGTGGTGGAAGACGAGCTGCTCGTTGGGAAGGAGCCTCTGCATGTCTGGTGCGGGTGTGACGGCGCTGACAGTGTTGGTCGCGATCTCATGAGAGAGCAAAAACAGCTGTTCTCACAGCTCGCTGGAGAGTGCGCCTTCAACGAGTGTGAGTGCTCACAACAGGCTTGCACTATTTGTACTGTTGTGTAGTCGTGGCCATTTCCCCTGTGCGTTTCAGCACCAGTAGAAAGCAAATTCCTAAAAGAGCACACACGGTTTGATCCTGCGTCTTTTTCAAGATGTCATTCAGACCGTGTGCTACTGGATGCGGTCACTACCTGGCTCCGGTGATGGTCATGATTACTGCCTCACGTGTTTGGGCCTCGCGCACGCTGATGTGGCACTCATGGATGGTACATGTTCTCACTGCAGGAACATGACCATCTCGTTGTTAAGGTCGAGACTCCAGTATCTTGAAAGGACTGGAGCCCCTTCGTACAGCCACGCAGGGTGAGAACGTAATGATTACGAAAAAATCAATGATTATGATTATTGTTTTTCAATAACTTGTTAGTTTCATTTTAGTTTTTCATTTATTTTAGCCTACTTCGGTTAATAACCTAGGTGACCTGAGGATTACAGTGAGGAATCCCCCGCCGAGTCAAACTCCTCGGGCTCCTCACTCCTCCATGACACTGCAACCAGTGGAGCCTCCAAGAGGGCGTGCTGGTCTGCCTTGTGCGGCGCCAGTCATCACTTTTGGGGATCCCCCGGAGGACCAGATGTCGGTCGCTGCATCGGAGGGTGAGTGTCCTCCGGAATGAAGATTCAGCTGCGCTGCCCCTTTCAGGTGTGGCAGCATTGCCCGAGTCAGACCCAGAGATGGCTACTATGCTTTCCCGGGCCGCCGCCACTGTCGGGCTCGAGTGAAACCCTCCACCGTGTCCCGAACCCTCGCGGCTGGACGACTGGTTTCTTGGAGCGGCCTGTGCTGGTTCTCAACGCGCCGCCCAAGTACCTTTCTTTCCGGAGGTGCATGAAGAGGTGACTAAATCGTGGACAGCACCTTTTTCTGCCCTAAGCCGGTCTGGTCCTTCTTCCTTCTTCACTACCCTCGATAGCGGGGCGGCTAAGGGGTACGTGGAGCTCCCCCCAGTGTAGCGGTCTGTGGCGATGCAACTGTGTCCCAAGACTGCTACCTCTTGGCGGGGTAATCCGTGTCTCCCCTCCCGAGCGTGTAAGTTCTCATCCTCTCTGGCGGGCAAGGCTTACACAGCTTGTGGAGAAGACGCTTCCGCCCTGCATGCCATGGCGCTCCTGCAGGTCTACCAGACCAAAGCGCTCAAGGAACTGCACGAGGGTAGTTCTGACCCAGGGGTTATGCAGGAACTGCGTGCAGCGACGGACCTTGCCCTACGGGCGACGAAAGTCACTGCACGCTCCCTGGGTCGGGCGATGTCCCCCTTAGTGGTCCAGGAGCGCCACCTGTGGCTGAACCTGGCAGATATGCATGAGCCCGACAAAGTTCAGTTCCTCAACGCCCCTGTCTGTCAGGCCGGCCTCTTCGGCGACGCTGTTGAAAACTTTGCCCAGCAGTTTTCAGCGGCACAGAAGCAGACGGAGGTGATTAAGCACATCCTGCAGCGCCTTCATCTGCTCGTCGCTGAGGGCGCCCCCTGGCGGCCACCTCCACTCTTGCTCAGCCTAAGCAGCAGCCTCCACCTAGGCGGCTGGCCGCAAGGGGAACGCCCAGTCTGTCCAGGCCCCCGCAGGGCTACCAGGCCAAAGCGCTCAAGGAACTGCACGAGGGTAGTTCTGACCCAGGGGTTATGCAGGAACAGCGTGCAGCGACAGACCTTGCCCTACGGGCGACGAAAGTCACTGCACGCTCCCTGGGTTGGGCGATGTCCACCTTAGTGGTCCAGGAGCGCCACCTGTGGCTGAACCTGGCAGATATGCATGAGCCCGACAAAGTTCAGTTCCTCAACGCCCCTGTCTGTCAGGCCGGCCTCTTCGGCGACGCTGTTGAAAACTTTGCCCAGCAGTTTTCAGCGGCACAGAAGCAGACGGAGGCGATTAAGCACATCCTGCCCCGACGACCAGCTGCTGCCTCCACCCAGTCGTCGGCTGCAGCGCCTTCATCTGCTCGTCGCTGAGGGCGCCCCCTGGCGGCCACCTCCACTCTTGCTCAGCCTAAGCAGCAGCCTCCACCTAGGCGGCTGGCCGCAAGGGGAACGCCCAGTCTGTCCAGGCCCCCGCCAAACCAGGCAGTAAGCGTAAGGGCAAGCGGCCCTGAGACGGGCTACCCAGAGATGGGAGGATCTGCTCTCCGGGAGATGGTGTCCGGACCACTCCCTCCCCCGGAGGAGGGTCGGGTGGAGAATCCTTTGTTTCCTTTTGTTTTTGTTCCGCCTGGTACCCACATTTTCAAAAAAAGAGCAATTTCCTCTATCTCTGGGTTACAAGTGGACGCGGTTGGCAGTGTGCGACGTGTTGCAAACACCTTGCCACTCCCTTCCCCCTCTCTCTTCGCCAGCAGGCAGCAGTGTGTGGGTAGAGGACTCCACCGGGCCTTCTCTCACGCCCTCTGCCCCACCCTGGAACCAGGTAAGTGTGGCACAGCACACGCAGACTCCACTTCAGGCCGCCTCAGTGCCTCCATAGTCGAGTGCCTGTGTTCCACCACGCTGCCCCACCCCGGGTACGTCTGTGGTTCCGTTGGTCCCGCTTGCACGGTGTCTGGGAGCCTGGCTAGCGCTCCCCAGCCCATCTCACTGGCTCATCTGTACCATCAGACTCGGCTATGCTATTCAGTTCGCTCGGCGTCCCCCCAAGTTCAGGGGCATCCACTTCACCTCTGTGCGGAACAGCGATGCCTCTGTCTTACGGATGGAGATCGACATCCTACTGGTGAAGGACGCGATCGAGCCGGTCCCTCCAGCCGATATGAAGGCAGGGTTTTACAGCCCCTACTTCATTGTGCCCAAGAAAGGTGGTGGGTTACGGCCAATCTTGGACCTGCGAACCTTGAACCGGGCCCTGCACAAGCTCCTGTTCAAGATGTTAACGCAAAAACGCATTTTCGAGTGCATCTGTCCCCTGATATTGGTTTGCAGCGATCGACCTGAAGGACGCGTACTTTCATGTCTCAATTCTCCCTCGACACAGGCCATTCCTATGGTTTGCGTTCGAGGGTCGGGCTTATCAGTACAAGGTCCTACCCTTTGGGCTGTCCCCGTCACCTCGCGTCTTTACGAAGGTCGCAGAGGCAGCCATTGTTCCACTCAGAGAAAGTGGCGTTCACATTCTCAACTATCTCGACGACTGGCTGATACTGGCACAGTCTCGGGACCAGTTGTGCGAACACAGGGACAAGCTTCGTCACCTCAGCCTGTTGGGACTTCGGGTCAACTGGGAAAAGAGCAAACTCTCCCCTGTGCAGAGGATCTCTTTTCTCGGTATGAAGTTGGACTTGGTCAACCAGACAGCGCGACTCACAGAGGAGCGCGTCCAGTCAGTTTTGAACTGCTTGAATTCATTCAGAGGCAGGACAGCGGCCCCACTGAAACAGGCTCCTGGGGCAAATGGCTTCCGCGGCCGCAGTAACGCCGCTCGGGTTGCTTCATATGAGGCTGCTTCAGCACTGGCTTCACGGCTGAGTCCCGAGAGGGGCATGGCAGAGCGGAACGCACCGAGTGTCTATCACCCCGTACTGTCGCCAAACCTTCAGCTCGTGGTCAGACCCTTCGTTTATACGGGCGGGAGTCCTCAATCGTGCAGCCGACGAGCTCTCATGACAGCCTGCGCCTCCGGGAGAGTGGCGGCTCCATCCCCAGGTGGTCCAGCTGATTTGGGACCTTTTCGGAGCCGCACAGCTAGACCTGTTTGCCTCTCCGGACTCGACCCATTGCCAGCTGTTTTATTCCCTGACCGAGGGCACCCTCGGCACGGATGCGCTGGCGCACAGCTGGCCCCAGGGCCTTTGAAAATATGCGTTTCCCCCAGTGAGCCTTCTCACACAGACACTGTGCAAAGTCAGGGAGTACGAAGGAGCAGGTCCTGGTAGTTGTGCCATACTGGCCCAACCGGACTTGGTTCTCGGAACTTATGCTCCTCGTGACAGCCCCTCCTTGGCCCATTCCTCTGAGGAAGGATTTGCTTTCTCAGAGGCAGGGCACCCTATGGCACCCGCGTCCAGACCTCTGGAAACTTCATGTCTGGTCCCTGGACGGGACGCGGAGGTTCTAGGTGGCCTACCCCAATCAGTGGTAGACACCATCACTTCCGCTAGAGCCCCCTCTACAAGGCGCCTCTATGCTTTTAAGTGGAACCTGTTCGTTGATTGGTGTACTTTCCACCGGGAAGACCCCCGAAGATTGCCGCAATTGCCGCACATCACGATGCAGTTGATGGTAAGTCTCTTGGTAAGCACGACCTGGTCGTCAGGTTCCTTAGAGGGGCCTACCTCGGTACCCTCTTGGGACCTGTCTCTGGTGCTCACGGCACTGCAGAGACCTCCCTTTGAACCTTTGCAGTCAGCTGAGTTGAAAATTCTGTCACTAAAGACAGTTCTCCTGACTGCATTGGCTTCCATCAAGAGGGTAGGGGACCTGCAGGCATTTTCGGTCGATGAATCGTGCCTAGAATTTGGGCCGGCTAACTCTCATGTTGTCCTGAGACCCCGGCCTGGATATGTGCCCAAGGTTCCTACCACTCCCTTCAGGGACCAGGTAGTGAGCCTGCAAGCACTGCCCTCGGAGGAGGCAGACCCAGCCCTAGCTTGCTGTCCCGTCCGAGCCTTAAGGTGCTACGTAGACCAGACGCAAAGTTCAGGACCTCAGACCAGCTCTTTGTCTGTCACGGAGGCCGGCAGAAGGGGAATGCCGTCTCTAAGCAGAGGATGGCCCACTGGATAGTGGATGCCATCACCCTGGCTTATCAGGCACAGGGTGTGCCCTGCCCGCTCAGGTTGCGGGCTCACTCAACTAGAAGTGTTGCATCCTCCTGGGCGCTGGCTCGTGGCGCCTCACTGGCAGACATCTGTAGGGCTGCGGGCTGGGCGACCCCTAACACATTCGCTAGATTCTATGCCTTCGTGTGGAGCCGGTATCCTCCTGTGTTCTCACCTCAAACGGGTAGAAGCACTGAGAGGCCCCGGCTTCGGGTCGGCTTGCAAAACCACTCCAGAGAGTCCATATAGTAGACCCTGTTGAGCTCCTCCGTCCCCTCGGCAGCCAGACGTGGCGGAGCGTCCGGCGCCAGGCCTTCACTCGCTGAATCCTCGAGAACCGGTAGAAGGCTGGGTTCCATATGTAAGACCCAAGTGGATCTCATATGTGTAAAGTCCACGGTATAGCCTCGAGCCCGTGTTTCCCCGGCAGACTTCTGCCATTTCCAAGAGGGTTACAATCACCTCCATTCTTCCATATGCACCTAAGGGATGTCCATATGCGTATTGCTTCCGAAACCTCCTTCGGGAAGGTTCGAGCTTCCGTAACGTCCCTGTTCCAAGTAGAACGGGTACGTTTTCCCAGTGTTATCCAGTCTTACTCAGTGGGTAGTGCCATAGCAGCAGTAGCTGGTCCTCTTGTGAAGAAGCCCTGGCCTACGCCAAAAAGTAGGGGCGCAGGTGGCTTCCACAGGACACTGGAAGGGGCAGTAGCTGTGGCCCTTTGGTAGGATCCCAATTCGTCGGTCATCCGACGTGACGTCGAGAGTGACCGACTGAAAGGGAACGTCTCGGTTACGTATGGTAACCCTCGTTCCCACGTCCCGTCGCCACAGCTCCTGTACCACCGCTGAGCGGCCGGGTCACCGGCTCGGCTCCTCAGCGAAAACCTGAATATGCGCTGCATCTGCTGCCTACTTATACTCACGCTGTGATCAGCAGCAGCTGGATGCAATAATCGCATGCCAATGTGCATTGGCTCGTTTAGTTTACACTCGAAGTAGATTGGTCCCTCTAAGCGAGATCCCAATTCGTCGGTCATCCGACGTGACGTCTCCGTTCCCTCCTTCAGGGAACGAGGGTTACATACGTAACCGAGACGATCTTCTTCATGTTTTCGACTCTTGTCAGATGATATTTCAGTGAAGTCAGGAGGGTATGCTATCTGGTGTCGCCTTGCAGACAAGATTTATATGCCATTTAATGAATGTGTAAATGAGCATGCATGAAATACTTTATATGGACAGAGAGAGACAAAGCAAACAAACATCTGTGCAAACAATAAGAACTGAGTGAAGGTGTGTGTGCAGACGGGAGGAGGATTAGTGCTACGCGTTATTCAATTAGAATACGTTAATTGAGTCGACTGATGTAATAATCACATTAGAGCAGCTGCTGTTTCACTGAAAACTGAAGAGCTGAAAAACACAACAGACAGAGTCTTCATTGCCAAGACCAAGGGAGGATTTTATTACTTCAGTCATGGCAGATGATTTGAACAAACCTTTACTATTTTACTAAGTGATCAGACTTACAATTTTCACTTGGTGAAGAACAAAACAGGTGAAAAAATCCCACAAACTTGTATTGAGGAAAGGACCCGAGCTACAGACGTTGAAGTAATATACTGTATATTAACTATTACATATCAATGTTATAATTGAAATAAAGCAGAAGTAATATAAAACATGAACATAACTCAGGACTCCCTAACAACTGAACCTCAAGATGTTAATGACTCAGAACACCTTAGCAACTGCATAGCAATGACCTAGCAACCACTCAGAACTCCCTAGCAACTGAACTGCAAGATGTTAATGATTCAGAACACTTTAGCAACAACCTAGCAACCACCCAGAACACCCTAGCAACTAAATATCAAGATGTTAATAATGACAATAACAATGAACACCATAGTGACCGTATAGCAATGACCTAGCAACCACTCTGAACTCCCTAGCAACTGAACTGCAAGATGTTAATGACTCAGAACACTTTAGCAACAACCTAGCAACCACCCAGAACACCCTAGAAACTAAATATCAAGATGTTAACAATGACAATAACAATGAACACCATAGTGACCGTATAGCAATGACCTAGCAACCACTCTGAACTCCCTAGCAACTGAACTGCAAGATGTTAATGACTCAGAACACTTTAGCAACAACCTAGCAACCACCCAGAACACCCTAGAAACTAAATATCAAGATGTTAGCAATGACAATAACAATGAACACCCCAGTGACGGTATAGCAATGAACTAGCAACCACTCTGAACTCCCTAGCAACTGAACTGCAAGATGTTAATGACTCAGAACACTTTAGCAACAACCTAGCAACCACCCAGAACACCCTAGAAACTAAATATCAAGATGTTAGCAATGACAATAACAATGAACACCCCAGTGACGGTATAGCAATGAACTAGCAACCACTCTGAACTCCCTAGCAACTGAATTGCAAGATGTAAATGCCCCAGAACACCTTAGCAACTGCATAGCAACGACTTAGCAACCACATAAAACTCCATAGCAACTGAACTGCAAGATGTTAATGACTCAGAACACCTTAGCAACCACATAGCAACAACCTACCAACCACTCAGGACTCCCTAACAACTGAATTGCAAGATGTTAAAGACTCAGAACACCTTAGCAACTGCCTAGCAACACCCTAGAATAATTGTGATGACCCTAGAATCAGCTTTGCATGAACAAGCAGCTTAAATTTTTGCCCAGAAATGTAAATAACTAGTTCAAAACAAGACAGCAGTTTCTCCTCCAATGGATGTGGACAGATGTTTTATTTTAAATGTATAATAGCATGTTAAAAATGTCTCCACCGAAGGAATTCTCAGTGCCTTACAATTAGATGATCCATCTATGAGTCAAGAGTACATGTAAACCACACCCACACAGCAGAAAAAACACGCTTCTGTGTAAATTACACCCGTTTTGAGGAGGGATTTTTATCTTCCGTCTCTTTTTACCGTAATAACCGTTCATAGAGTTGACAGATTTGTGTAAATGTAAGTTACTGCGCATGACAGCCCCTCCTTGGCCCATTCCTCTGAGGAAGGATTTGCTTTCTCAGAGGCAGGGCACCCTATGGCACCCGCGTCCAGACCTCTGGAAACTTCATGTCTGGTCCCTGGACGGGACGCGGAGGTTCTAGGTGGCCTACCCCAATCAGTGGTAGACACCATCACTTCCGCTAGAGCCCCCTCTACAAGGCGCCTCTATGCTTTGAAGTGGAACCTGTTCGTTGATTGGTGTACTTTCCACCGGGAAGACCCCCGAAGATTGCCGCAATTGCCGCACATCACGATGCAGTTGATGGTAAGTCTCTTGGTAAGCTCGTCAGGTTCGTCAGGTTCCTTAGAGGGGCCTACCTCGGTACCCTCTTGGGACCTGTCTCTGGTGCTCAAGAGACCTCCGAGACCTCCCTTTGAACCTTTGCAGTCAGCTGAGTTGAAAATTCTGTCACTAAAGACAGTTCTCCTGACTGCATTGGCTTCCATCAAGAGGGTAGGGGACCTGCAGGCATTTTCGGTCGATGAATCGTGCCTAGAATTTGGGCCGGCTAACTCTCATGTTGTCCTGAGACCCCGGCCTGGATATGTGCCCAAGGTTCCTACCACTCCCTTCAGGGACCAGGTAGTGAGCCTGCAAGCACTGCCCTCGGAGGAGGCAGACCCAGCCCTAGCTTTTCTCTGTCCCATCCGCGCTCTGCGGCTGTACGTGGACAGAACACAAAGCTTCAGAACCTCAGACCAGCTTTTTGTCTGTTACGGAGGCCTGCAGAAGGGAAAGGCTGTCTCCAAACAGAGGTTAGCCCACTGGATAATGGATGCTATTGTCTTGGCTTACCAATCCCAAGACGTGCCTTGCCGGTTCGGGTTGCGAGCACACTCAACTAGAAGTGTTGCTTCCTCCTGGGCACTGTCTCAAGGCGCCTCGCTGACAGATATTTGTAGAGCTGCGGGCTGGGCGACACCTAACACGTTCGCTAGATTCTATAGCCTTCGTGTAGAGCCGGTATCTTCCCATGTACTCGCCCCCAGTGGCCAGTAGCGCAAAGGGCCCGTTCTAGTGTCGGCTTGCAACGCCACTCCCACCCGCTGGGCCGGATACGTGCGTCTATTGCTCCAGTAGAGTTCCCCAGAAATAGCTAACCCTGTGAGCTCCTCCATCACACCCCGGCAGTCAGACGTGGCGGAGCGTCTGATGCCAGGCCTACACTTGTATGCGTTGTGGAACCTGTGTTAGGCTGGGTGTCCATATGTAGTGGTCCCTGCAGTGATCCCATATGTGTATTCTTCCACGGTAAGGCTACCCAGGCCGACTAGCCCGTGTCTTTCCCTCGACAGAGCTCACTCTGTCGTCTCTGCTGGTGTTCTTTCCCCCCTATAACTAGGCTGGAACCACCCCAGAGACTTCCATATGTTGTATTACCCTAATTGGCTAGTCCATATGTGTAACTGCCACATTTTACTTCCTACGGACAGGATGTGGCTTCCGCAGCGTCCCCTTCCCTTTTAGGGCACGCTTTCCCAGCATTATCCAAATAGTCACACTGAGTGGGTCTTGTGGAACAGCAGTGACTGACCTTCTCTGCTTAGAGCCCTGCTTCCGCTCCAACAGTTGGGTGCGGTCCAGGAGTCTCAAGCAGAGCACTGGAAGGGCCAGCGACAGTGGCGTGTTGGTAGATATCTCTCATTCGTCGGTCAGTTCCGACGTACGTAGAACGTGACAGACTGAAAGGGAATGTCTCGGTTACGTATGTAACCCTCGTTCCCTGAAGGAGGGAACGGAGACGTACGTCC